GGTCGACGCCGCGGGCAGGCGGCTTCGACGCGGGCAGGCGACGACGCCGCGGGGAGGCGGTGACGCCACGGGCAGGCGACGACGTCGCAGGGAGGCGCGACGCCGCGGGGAGGCGACGACGCCGCTGGCAGGTGACGACGTCGCGGGGAGGGCGACGCGACGGGCGGCGAGAGTCTGCAGGGGCGGCTCTCGGGCCTGACGGGTCTGCAGCGGCGGCTCGGGGGCCTGACGGGCCTGTAGCGGCGGCTCGGGGGGCTGACGGGCCTGCAGCGGCGGCTCGAGGGCGCACGAAAAGGAGAAAAAAGGCGCACGAGGGCGCACGAGGGCGCACGGGGGGCGCACGAGGGCGCACGGGGGCGCACGAGGGCGCACGGTAGTAGGTAGGTAGGTAGGGTAACGGTGGGCCCTAAAGCGGTCCTAGTGACGGACCTGCTCTGATACCATGTCAGAATCAACGGACTGGAAATGGACTGAACTAACAAGGAAGGCAGTACAAATGGGAAACCCTAGAGATGTGTACCCCATATAGTCTAACCCACTGTAGCCTAACAACAACCAACATATATAATGTTTGACAGGTGAGCATGCTGGTGATGCGAGCGACACGTCGAACTGGGATGCGCCGCCCTCGTTCGCCGAGTGCGCAAGTTTGTGTGAGCTCAAACAACAACCGCTCTCGTCGATCGACGTCGACCGAAAATGAGGTTGTGCGCGTGTCCAACCGGAGTCCCAAGAATTTGAGGCACTGGCTTGGCTCGAGTTGTGATTTCTTGGAGTTGACAATAAATCCGGCCGATGTCAGGTCGGCCAAGACGATAGCTCGATTGTGAAGGGCCTCGGCTCGCGTGGCGTTTATAAACAGGATGTCGTCAACATAAGGAATAAGCCGGATGCCCCTTCTGCGCCAACGTTTTGCGAGCTGCTTGATTAATTGCGTGAAGACAAACGGAGCGGTGGCCAATCCAAAAGGCAGGGATAGGAATTGATAACATTGGCCTTGGAGGGTGAAACCCAGGAACCGCCAGTAGGCCGGATGGATGTCTACGTGATGGTATCCGGCCTTCAGGTCGATAGTAAATAGCCAGTCGTCTTGGTGCACCAAGTCAGGCACCCGGTTAAGGCCCTCGTAGCGAAACCGGGGAACGGACAGGAATGTATTGACGTGTCGAAGGTCCAAAATGAGCCTCTTTTTTTAAGGTTGGACAACCACGTTCAACGGGCTAACACATGTGAGGGGTTCCGACGGCGGCACCATTCGGGCCGCTCCTGTCGCTAGTAGCTCGGCCACTGCCTCGGCCGCGAATGCGGCATATTGAATGGCGCCCGAGCTGTTGGAAGCGTAGCGGGGAGTTGGTTCCGACGAAGCCCACGGAAGGCGATAGCCGGAAGTGATGACAGACATGATGAAGCGGCTGTCACACCAGGCGGCCCACCAGTCGCCACGTGCACCAAGACGACCGCGCATGAAAGGCACGTCGGTGGGTGAAGTGTCCCGAGCGACGGGACTGTCTAGCACTGGTTAGGGGTGCGGGAAGGCACGTACGGAGAATAAGTTAGTGCTACGGATACGCATTCATATCTTATTTTCTTCTTCTCTCCCTCTTTTTTGTCTCTCTCTCTCTTTCTCTTTTTTTTTTTTTTTTTTTTTTCTCTCTTTTTCGTTGTTGCTTCTCTTTCCTTTTTTTTTTTTTTTTTTTTTTCTCTCATTCTTTTCCTATTCCCCCTTCTTTCTCTCTTCCTTTTTTTTTTTTTTTTAAACCATTTTTGTGTATGCACGAAAGCAACCTTTATATAAGATAGAATGTCTTGTACATCTTATCAATCATAAGTCGCATACAATGCGTAGAGACTTCAAACAATCTTAGCAGGCCTATTAGCGCCTTGGCCACGCTGGGGGCAATCCGCAATCCCATGGCCGGGTTCGCGACAATAAAAACAACGTCCGTCACCATCGCGACGCCATGTATTCCAATTACGCTCTCCTTGGCCTCGACCACGAGGGGGCGGGTCGCCACGGGAGCTCGCGTGAGCGGGGCGGTTGGGCTTCTTTTTGTTGGCCGCCACAATTTGAGTGGCGGCCTTCACATTCTTATCCTCCACCACTTCGCCGTATTTAATCTTCAAGGCCATATTGGCCACCTCGAAGCCGCGTTGGTCGGCGGTGAATAGAAAATGAATCTATTCCTCTGCTTCCTCAACTATTTGCTGGAGGTAGTCGGCGGCTTGCTCACCACCATTGGAAGGCAAAACGGAAATGGCGTGACGTGCAATAGCTTGGATACGCTCGAAACTAAAAAGTTGCGTGCGAATACCATCACTCTTCACTAGAGATGAACGCAATTGAGGGCGAGCAGGGGGTATGGGAGCGAGGCTGATAGTGGCAGAACCAGATTTGGGACGAGCGGCATTACCTTCGTCCGAATTTTCGACATGTGCGTTGTCATGCGCGTCGTCGCCGTCGAGTTCGTTGATCGGAGGAGGAGGAGGGCGGGAGCGTGGTGCTGCCGCTGCTACAGGACGAGCAGGTTCTGGAGTCGGTGCAGGATCGCCATTAGTTCCGCGCTGAAGAGCTGTGAGGAGGCCGATGACATGATGAATGGCGTCGTTGTTCGTAGCAGCAGGAATTTCGTTGTTTGTATAACGCGCAGAATAATGTTCTGCTGATCGGGGCGCTGTAGATTCAGTGGAGCGCGCTGCAACGCGTTCGCCTGCAGCTCCCGTGAAGATTCGCTGAAGGTTTCGCTGGGCTGCTGGGTCAAGGCGCGCGAGAATCTCGGCGAAATCCGCTGCTGCAGAAGTCGAGATTCGAAAATCCTCAACAGCGCGCGGATTCGTTGGGCGAGGGGCAGGATCCGGGCGTCGAGACTCTCGCCCTGGGTCCTGATTCTGGCGATTCGCGCGACGGTCAAGATTGCGATCTTGACCGAGATCGCGATTGCCGTCCCCGCGCGCAGGACCGTCATCATTTCGGTCCACGCGCGCAGGATCGCCACGCGCAGGACCAGAGGGTGCCGCGCGTGTGGCGTTTCCTGTTGGCGCCGTGGCCTCCTCGGTACCGGGCGCGACATTTCCGTCCGGCAGGTTCGTTTCTCTGCCACGTAACCCGTCTACACGCCGTTCGCCGTGAAAACCGGGAGGAAAATCCCGACGAGAAGATCCGTCGCGATCGCCTCCGGCAGCTCGAGGACTTTGCGGGGGAGCCTGTCGTGCTCGATTCAATAAATCGAAAGCAGTAACCGCCGCAGGATTTCCGCCACGGGGAGAACGAGAACGCTCCCTGCGTGAAGAGGAGTCCCGATCTGCATCACGTTGGGGAGAGCCACCGCGCCCACTGCTCCGTAAATTCATTCGAGCAGCGGGAGGCCTTCCGCTTGCAGCCGAGACAAATCCGCTAGCCATGCTATTGAAACGGACTAAAATCACGTCTTCCAACAGAGTACTCCTATGCCCAGATCTGGGCATAGGAAGGGTTTAGTGTGCTGGTGGTAAGCTAGAGAAGTGAAAATTGAAAATGAGACTAGGTGGCAGGTCTTGTGGACCTGCCGGAAGGTAAAGGAGTCTGTCTTCAAGTCGAATCACAATCTGTAAATTTTTGTTTCTTACAAAAATTTTTCATATTGCGCTATCTGTCGCAGCAGCACCCGTTCGCGCAACCAGGCGGCGCGATTTCCACCCTCCGCGGAGGCAGCAGATGCAGCGCCGCGCCTCCAGGCGACGGCGCCGATCAGCGCCAGCTATGCTTGAGCTCGGGAACTCCGCGCATCGACGCAATGCTTGTGCGGGGGAAATGCGCGGAACTAGTAACGATGGCAGAGCGTCTATTAACAAGTTGCGTTTTCATGATCCTTTGCTCTGTTTTCAAACTGAGGATAACGAATTGTTCAAACTAAGCAATTATAGCGGCGGGTGGAATAGGTTTGGGGACGATTATCGAGTGCGCCGATAAGGGGCCGCTTAGGCGACGCGCATGGGGAAACGTGGCGCCGCGCAGGGGAAGCGAAGGCGACGCGCAGGGGACGTGACGCTCGGATGCGCAGGGAACTGGCGCGAGCGACGAGCAGCGTTTGTTACGCGACGGGCAGGGAAGGCGTGAGCGTGAAGCGTGGGCGGCGAGCCTAAACTGTGGGAGACGGGGCTGTCCGAGTGAGTGGCGGCATGGTTCTTAGACGAGCGCATCAGAGCATAGCTGTGCTAGCGGCTGAATTACGCAGCAACACAAGGGCCGTTTGTTGGCTGCCTCCGTAGAGTCGGCTAAGAGGGAGCTGTGTCGACTTCGCGTGAACTGGTCGTGCCGTATTATTGCTTTGGAGTGAGCACTACTGGCCGGTGTAGGCGTGAATGGCGGGAGAAGCCACACCTTCTTTGCCCTGCTTGGCAAAGCGTACAACAAGGTTTTCAAGATTACTGGGTGTGAACAGTGCTGTCTTTCCGGCTGGGGTCTCAGTTGGTATTACTTGTTTGTCGCTGGCCAATCAGAGTTCGACGCTACCGCTTGAGCATGACGGATTGCTGTGTCGATGGTGGTAACATGGTTTTTTGCGAATTCATATTCAAGAATCTTGAATTTGAAAACAACCATGTGGTACTCGGGCTTTAAAAATGCCGATAATGGCGATAATGGCCAGAATGCCTGCCGAACTGGGCCTAGGACTACCGATCAAGGTCCTGATGTCGGTCAGGCGATTCACGTGCGCCTTTAGAGGGGTTCAATTTGGCGCGTTTTGAAGGCATCCAAAACGGTTGAGTAGGTTTGCGAGGCTACACGGGCGGGTTTGCCAAAGAGGCAGGGCAGATCCATCTGACCAACCTCAGCAATACCAATTCCCCCAGAACAGGCTGACATTCTCTGCCACCGCGTTTCACGGCGAAGCCTATTTGCCTCTCCAGCTGCATGTTGTTCAAGTAGGCAGGACAATCTCCTATCTTGAATTATTCCGCACTGTGCTGACTCAGTCTATCAGAGCCCGTCAGTGTAGAATACGGTCGGTCGCAAGCTGTCGATGCTACCAGTTCAGCGTCGTCGTGGTTCGGCTGGCAGAATGACAGTCGCTCGACGCGTTCCGCTAGCTCGTCGGATCTCGTCAGCTCAACGTTTTCTGATCCTGGCTTACGCGATAGCCCTACTGCACGTGAGTCTCGTAACTGGCGGCGCTTCTGGCGACCCAGTTATTTTTTTTGTCATCATTCAATAACGAGAAGCTTCATAACTTCCAAGAAGTTTCAATATCTCTTTCCTAAGATACACAATTCTTCGTTCTAATAGTCAACCATACAGTTCTTTTTATTTTTCCTCACTTTCTTTTTCTGTCCTCGCGAATGGTCTGGACGCTAGTCTTTAATTAGTCATGAACCTCCTCTTGAAAATGCTCACTGGAGGGTGTCTGGAATAATTCGCCGTCAGTCAACCATATGATATATCCGTGCGATCGCACCCGCACCCGCATCCCCTTTTCTCCTCCCACCTCCACTAAGCCTCACCCGGCTTTTCCACCCCCTTCCCCGTTATTGTCACATCAGGCTGTGAATGCAGTAGACGAGCGCATTCACCACCGCGATGCCCTTGTGAGTGAATGAATGGTGTGATTGGATGATGTGAATGCAGCATGATGTGATGATGTGAGTGCAGGCTGATGTGATGATGTGAGTGCAGCATGATGTTTCTTAAGGGGCTTTTATCTTGGCCTGACTAGCACGTGAGTGACAACTGCCAAACCCAACTTCTTCCACGCAATTTTGGCCAACTTGCTCCTGCACGCAAGTTTCTCTTCATCCCCCTCCACCCCCACCCCCCGCTCCCCCGCTAAATGCTCCTTCCCCCTTCAGTCACGAGCCATCATAGATGCTTTCCCTGACGTTCCCACTCTCATCGATTTTGGGTTCCCTGACCATCTGTGCGGGACATGGCACCACAGCTACACACGCATGCACCAGCAAATCCGGGCAGCCAGCAAAAATCCCTCCTCTGCTCCCCCGCCCGACACGCCGCCTGTGAAATTTCTCACCTTTGATGGCCTCCGCCACTGTGACAGCCTCGGGGAGACCCTCATGGGGCTGACGTCAGCATTCACTGTAGCTCTCCTCACTAACAGGGCCTTCGTTATAAAGCACCCGTGCATTCCCATGGCTTTTGAGCCGGCGTTGATCGACTGGCAACCTACAGAGGACGTGGGATTTGAGCCGGTCAGAAACGAAACTTTTCCGATGGACCCTCCTGACCGGGTGGTCACGCCGCCAATAGGAGCAAGCGATATAGTAGAGATCAACCTGGAAATGCATCCCGAGGCGCACCCGGAAAAGGTGTTTCCGAAGGTGGAAGCTGCGAGGAACCTTCGTGTGGTGTGGAATAAGGACCTTCTGGTACATATGCTGAAGGGGGCGAATGGGTCGGTGTGGGGGGAGAGACTCAGGAGCATGGGCGTGCGAATCCCATACGCTTTCGGGTGCTTCGTTCGGTACTTGTTGAGGTGAGCGGATTGTTGAGAGGATATGGTGTTATTGAAGAGAGGGAGTGGGTGGGTCGGAGTGGCTGGTCCCACGGGCATGTGTGTTGGTTGGAGTGGCTGGTCGCACAGAGCATGTGTGTTGGAGTGGCTGGTCGCACAGGCATGTGTGTTGGAGTGGCTGGTCGCACAGGCATGTGTGTTGGAGTGGCTGGTCGCACAGGCGTGTGTGTTGGAGTGGCTGGTCGCACGGGCATGTGTGTTGGAGTGGCTGGTCGCACAGGCATGTGTGTTGGAGTGGCTGGTCGCACGGGCATGTGTGTTGGAGTGGCTGGTCGCACGGGCATGTGTGTTGGAGTGGCTGGTCGCACAGGCATGTGTGTTGGAGTGGCTGGTCGCACGGGCATGTGTGTTGGAGTGGCTGGTCGCACAGGCATGTGTGTTGGAGTGGCTGGTCGCACGGGCATGTGTGTTGGAGTGGCTGGTCGCACAGGCATGTGTGTTGGAGTGGCTGGTCGCACGGGCATGTGTGTTGGAGTGGCTGGTCGCACAGGCATGTGTGTTGGAGTGGCTGGTCGCACGGGCATGTGTGTTGCTAGCAGGTTATCAAGAAGCTTCTAATGGTCCCTCCATCGTTTCCTCTCACATTATTCCATATATCATAACCAAGGTATGTCTTTTGAGGCTCCTGAAACCTTGTTGGACTTTTCCCCTATCTGCCTCCTTGCGTCCCTTGTGTTTCCCTGTTTTGTCCTTTCGTTTTCTACTTCCCCACTTCTTTTTTTTTTTTTTTTTTTTTTTGGTTTTTGCCAGGCCCAAGCCGGAGGTGTGGCACAGGATGCAGCCGTTTGAGAAGCAGCTGAGGGGGGAGAAGGTGGTGAGCATCGGCATGCACGTGCGGCAGTTTGGCCGCGGCGTTCCCCCGCCCAACACCACCGTCAGCCCGGAGGAAGTCAAGCAGAGCATGGACGACGTCGTGTGGCCCGCCATTGAGTGCGCCAAGGTGGGTGGTTCCGTTTTGGAGTGTGGAGAGTCTTTTGTGGGAGGTAGATGGGCGGTTTTCTCCTTGAGGCGAGAAGATGTGTCGTCGGGATGGCTATTCGGCTTGTGGATGTTATTCAATGCTGCTAACGTGCATAACGATGCGTCTCGCATCAACTTTGCAGTATCATTTCTGCTAAGTCCTGATTTATATTAATGGTGCCAAACGCTCCAGTCAGAGGGGACTTCGGCAGGTGTGGCACATGCAATGACGGGACAGTGACACCGGTCAAGCATAGGAGAATTTGACAAATTGAAGGTAGCCGCTTGCCATTGGTCGATGTGAAACTACTCGCTTTTATGAGAGATTAAGGAGATTCTTCTCAACATACCAGAAAAGAAAGAAAAAAAAAAGAAAGAAAGAAAGAAAGAAAGAAACTATAGCTTCCTCCAACTCTCACCTCCAATACATCCCTTGCCCCACAGGTTGGGTGCATTCTCTGCTGTTAACTCATCCCATCTCAAACACCCCAACCCCCCTCTTTCCCCCCCCATTTCCCCCCCCACACATATACAACAGAATTTGGAGAACTGGTGGTACCCTCCCACTCTTGACGTCAAGTGGCTCGTTATTAGCGACTCGTTGCAACTCAAACAAGAGGCTACCAAAGTGAACAATTCCAAGGTGATGCGAATGAGATCCCTTATCTTCCCTCTCCTTTCCATTCCTCTCAGCTCCTTTCCTCTCCGCTCTCTCCTCTCCTCCCCCCTCCTCTTTCTCCTCTCCTCTCCTCTCTTTCCTCTCCCTGCCCTGTCCTCTTTCCCGCTTGAGAGAGCTTTTCCAAAATGACTTTTAAGCCAAATGAACCGTTACCCTGCTTGCAAGAGCTTTTTCTGATGTTCGTGCACCACCGTTTCCCTACTCCCTCCCCTCGCTGCAGATCGTGATCACTGAATTCGAACCATGGGTCCCACCTTCCCTCCTCAGCATCAGCCAGAGCCCCCCTCCCCCGTCCCCTCCCCCACCTGCACCCGCAGCCCCTCCCTCTTCCGACCCATCATCACTTCTACCACCCCTGACGGACCCCCCCTCCCTCCCATCCCCTCTGTTCAAACCTTCCAAGAGACAGTCACCGAATGGCTTCTCCTCTCCTCGTGCAACTCGTTTATTGTTTCGGGCTCCGCATTTGGCCGCACGGCAGCTATGTATTCAATGCACCCCATGAGCATCTACACACCACAGTCGTGTGAGCCGCAGACTCCCGTCCGTGTTAGCAGCTTCGGCGAGGGGTCAAAGCGGCAGTTCTAAGGCGCATTGCATTGCGTTGCATTGACTTTTGATTCGACTCGAAAGACGTGTGAGCCTCAGACTCCCGTCTGCTCTGGCAGCTTCGGAGAGGGGTCAAAGCTGCAGTTCCAAAGGCTGATTGCTTGGTATTAGTATCATATAGCAGTGCGTTGTAACGTTATGGTAATAATAATAAGAGATGACGACTGCCACTGCTAATGCAACATGGAGATACTCTTTTTAGGCAGCATTGAATGCATGGTGGGCGTGAGACTGCACCAGAGTAGCTTATGGCTTGCACTGTCTGAGAGTATAGCTGCTGCGAGAGGCCATATACAAGGGCAGAACAAGATTCAGGCTTACGATTTCAGGGGGGCATTCATGGGGCTGCAGGTGGGGCTTGAAGCGGCAGCAGCTGCTTGGCTGAGAGGTTGGTGAATGAGTCGGCAACGATGCGCGCGTTATTGGGCTGGTAGCCCCCTGAGATAGGGGACAAGGGTGAGGAGGTGAGAGGGAGATGGAGGGCATGGGCAGTGGGGTTTTGAGAGAAGGGTGTGGATGGTGGTGCATGATGAGAAGATGAGTGTGGATGGTGGTGCATGATGAGAAGATGAGTGTGGATGGTGGTGCATGATGAGAAGATGAGTGTGGATGGTGGTGCATGATGATTGAACAGCAGTAATCCCAGGCATGGTATGGGGCAGCAGCATGGCCATGGAGGCAGCATGAGAATAAGCATGAGGGGGAGGGTACCAGAGGTGAGCATGAGGGGAGGGTACCGGAGGTGAGCATGAGGGGAGGGTACCGGAGGTGAGCATGAGGATGGGTATGGAGTGGTTCCTGGCGAACTGGAACACCATCTCATCCCGCCTCTGCACTCCCTCCGCTGACACCTGCTCACACATGCATGGATGTGGTCGAAGGAGAGAGAGGGAGGGAGGAGGGAGAAAGGGAGAGGGATGGTGGGATGGGGAGAGGGAGAGAGATGGAGAGAGAGGGAGAAAGAGCAAGACAGAGTGAGAAAGAGCAAGTGAGAGCAAGAGAGGGATGTTGGTTGCATGCATGGAGGCAGCAAGAGGGAGACGCATGGGTTGAGAGAAGCATACTGAGGGGGTGCAGAAGAGCAAATGGGGCAACACGGCACCAAGGCTCACAGCTGCAAAGGCATCGGCCATTATATCTGTTGAAAGAAACGGGCACAGTAGCATCTTACAGACACACCCAATGTACCTTCCTATGGCAGCACCTGCTATAGATTCTTGTAGCACCACCCACCATGGCTTCTTGTATTAACACTCACTCTCTACATCTTCTTAGAGAAACACCACTACTCTTCTAAATGCAGCCAAACCTCCCCATCCTTGCTTGCCCCCACCGCCCCTCCTTGCCCCCACCGCCCCTCCTTGCCCCCACCGCCCCTCCTTGCCCCCACCGCCCCTCCTTGCCCCCACCGCCCCTCCTTGCCCCCACCGCCCCTCCTTGCCCCCACCGCCCCTCCTTGCCCCCACCGCCCCTCCTTGCCCCCACCGCCCCTCCTTGCCCCCACCGCCCCTCCTTGCCCCCACCGCCCCTCCTTGCCCCCACCGCCCCTCCTTGCCCCCACCGCCCCTCCTTGCCCCCACCGCCCCTCCTTGCCCCCACCGCCCCTCCTTGCCCCCACCGCCCCTCCTTGCCCCCACCGCCCCTCCTTGCCCCCACCGCCCCTCCTTGCCCCCACCGCCCCTCCTTGCCCCCACCGCCCCTCCTTGCCCCCACCGCCCCTCCTTGCCCCCACCGCCCCTCCTTGCCCCCACCGCCCCTCCTTGCCCCCACCGCCCCTCCTTGCCCCCACCGCCCCTCCTTGCCCCCACCGCCCCTCCTTGCCCCCACCGCCCCTCCTTGCCCCCACCGCCCCTCCTTGCCCCCACCGCCCCTCCTTGCCCCCACCGCCCCTCCTTGCCCCCACCGCCCCTCCTTGCCCCCACCGCCCCTCCTTGCCCCCACCGCCCCTCCTTGCCCCCACCGCCCCTCCTTGCCCCCACCGCCCCTCCTTGCCCCCACCGCCCCTCCTTGCCCCCACCGCCCCTCCTTGCCCCCACCGCCCCTCCTTGCCCCCACCGCCCCTCCTTGCCCCCACCGCCCCTCCTTGCCCCCACCGCCCCTCCTTGCCCCCACCGCCCCTCCTTGCCCCCACCGCCCCTCCTTGCCCCCACCGCCCCTCCTTGCCCCCACCGCCCCTCCTTGCCCCCACCGCCCCTCCTTGCCCCCACCGCCCCTCCTTGCCCCCACCGCCCCTCCTTGCCCCCACCGCCCCTCCTTGCCCCCACCGCCCCTCCTCCTTGCCCCCACCGCCCCTCCTTGCCCCCACCGCCCCTCCTTGCCCCCACCGCCCCTCCTTGCCCCCACCGCCCCTCCTTGCCCCCACCGCCCCTCCTTGCCCCCACCGCCCCTCCTTGCCCCCACCGCCCCTCCTTGCCCCCACCGCCCCTCCTTGCCCCCACCGTCCCTCCTTGCTCCCACCACTCCTCCTTGCCCCCACCACCCCTCCTTGCTCCCACCACCCGTGCTGGCACTCACGGCAAGTCTACCGAGAGGGTCGTTGGCGAGAATGTCGGTGCCGGCATTGTAGATGAGCAGATCCGCGTGGAAGCCTGCTGCTGCCACCTGCATGGTGCAGCAGGTGCCGTGGAGCACGTGGGGTGGGGAATGGGAGGGGAAGGGGAGGGGGAGGGGGAGGGGGTGGGGAGAAAGAAGATAGAGGCTCAATAGGGATGCAAAGCCTTGCTGTGGTGGCCGATGATGACTGCGGTGCATGTGCCTTGCGTCTCACCTCCTCCCATGCCTCTCAATGACCGCAGTGCCTCTGAAACAGCATCAAGATACTGGCTTGCGCCCGGAAAAACTACAAGAGAACATGCAACTCACCGTTCATCTCCTCCCCTGCCTCTCACCTCTCCCGTATCACTCACCTCCTGCAAATGCCTGTGCGACCACATCAAGCTACTGCTTTATGCCTGCGACATGCCACTGTACGCACCACTCACCACCACAATAAGTGCCGCTCACCTCCTCCCGTGCCGATCCCCTCTTCCCCTGTCTCGCACCTCTCCCCTGTCTCTCCCTCTCCCCTGTCTCTCCCTCTCCCCTCTCTCTCACCTCTCCCCTCTCTCTCACCTCCTGTAGTGCCTGTGTCACGGCATCCAGGTACTGTGTTGTGCCTGTGCCACTCTGCAGGGGGGGGGGATGAAGCACGCACATGCAGCGATGAACGAGAGACACAGGATGCATGGGGTGTGGCGCATGGTGCGCTGCAAAGCAGAACAAGCACGGTGGATATAAATGCACAGGAAGCAACAAGACAAGAAGCACTTGTGTCATCCTTGTGACTCGATCCCACTGCTCTCCTGACCCGTCCTCCCTCCACCCTATCCTCTCTGTGAAGAACCAACGGCACACTCACTCTGAGCTCCTTGGCAATGCGAATGGCCGCCTTGGCTTGATGATCCTGCGGTGACATCGCGACATGGGATGGTGACATCGCAACATGGGATGGTTGTGAAAGATTAAAATTGAACCAATGAGTTGATTAGAGGAGGAACATGCATACATAGGTTGGATGAGAAGCTTGAAGGGGAAAGGTTGGGCTGACCATAGGTTGGGTTGGCCTCGCTTTGAAAAGTGAGGCAACCTAAGGCCAAGTGGGTTGCATTTAGTTGCTCCACCACAATTGGGTTGGATTGGCACTCCACAATGCAAGACTACAACCATAGTTGGGTGTAGTCCCAACCCAACTGTACACCACAATTGGTGTACAGTCACAAGTGTTGGCATGCTAGAACATACAGCTCTAACAATGGTGACATGGCGACATGGGAAGTTGGCATGGCGCATGGGATGTTGGCATGGCGACATGGGATGTTGGCATGGCGCATGGGATGTTGACATGGCGACATGGGATGGGATGGTGGCATGGCGCATCGGATGTTGGCATGGCGCATGGGATGTTGGCATGGCGCATGGGATGTTGGCATGACTCATGGGATGTTGGCATGGCGCATGGGATGTTGGCATGGCGCATGGGATGTTGGAATGGCGCATGGGATGTTGACATGGCGACATGGGATGGGATGGTGGCATGGCGCATCGGATGTTGGCATGGCGCATGGGATGTTGGCATGGCGCATGGGATGTTGGCATGACTCATGGGATGTTGGCATGGCGCATGGGATGTTGGCATGGCGCATGGAATGTTGGCATGGCGCATGGGATATTGGCATGGCGCATGGGATGGTGGCATGGCGCATGGGATGGTGGCATGGCGCATGGGATGGTGGCATGGCGCATGGGATGGGAGGATGTCAGCGAACAACAGTGTCTCAAAGGATGACAGTGCACAACAGAGTCTCAAAGGATGACAGTGCACAACAGAGTCTCAAAGGATGACAGTGTACAAGAGTCTCAAAGGATGACAGTGCACAACAGAGTCTCAAAGGATGACAGTGCACAACAGAGTCTCAAAGGATGACAGTGCACAACAGAGTCTCAAAGGATGACAGTGCACAACAGAGTCTCAAAGGATAACAGTGCACAAAAGAAAAACTTTGCAACATTTTAAATTGCTCGGCTGGGGCTGAGATGCGGTGAAGGAGGTTCATGGAGCGGTACCGCTGCTCAGTGCCCACGAGCACACCTCCCCACACGCAACCCATGGCACGAGGCATTCAACTAGCAACCCATGGCACGAGGCATTCAACTAGCAACCCATGGCACGAGGCATTCAACTAGCAACCCATGGCAAGAGGCATTCAACTAGCAACCCATGGCAAGAGGCATTCAACTAGCAACCCATGGCAAGAGGCATTCAACTAGCAACCCATGGCAAGAGGCATTCAACTAGCAACCCATGGCAAGAGGCATTCAACTAGCAACCCATGGCACGAGGCATTCAACTAGCAACCCATGGCACGAGGCATTCAACTAGCAACCCATGGCACGAGGCATTCAACTAGCAACCCATGGCAAGAGGCATTCAACTAGCAACCCATGGCAAGAGGCATTCAACTAGCAACCCATGGCAAGAGGCATTCAACTAGCAACCCATGGCAAGAGGCATTCAACTAGCAACCCATGGCAAGAGGCATTCAACTAGCAACCCATGGCAAGAGGCATTCAACTAGCAACCCATGGCAAGAGGCATTCAACTAGCAACCCATGGCAAGAGGCATTCAACTAGCAACCCATGGCAAGAGGCATTCAACTAGCAACCCATGGCAAGAGGCATTCAACTAGCAACCCATGGCAAGAGGCATTCAACTAGCAACCCATGGCAAGAGGCATTCAACTAGCAACCCATGGCAAGAGGCATTCAACTAGCAACCCATGGCAAGAGGCATTCAACTAGCAACCCATGGCAAGAGGCATTCAACTAGCAACCCATGGCAAGAGGCATTCAACTAGCAACCCATGGCAAGAGGCATTCAACTAGCAACCCATGGCAAGAGGCATTCAACTAGCAACCCATGGCAAGAGGCATTCAACTAGCAACCCATGGCAAGAGGCATTCAACATCAACCTACCCTCCCCACACTCTCACACCCTTACAACCACTCCCCCTCCTCTAACCCCTTACCCCTTATCCCTCACCCCTCTGCCCTAACGCGCCGTGCCTGCCTGCATGCACTGCACTGACCCGAGGGAAGATGGCTGCATTGTACACGTCCACTATGAACACGTCCGCTGAGAGGGGTGGAGAGGGGTGCGGAGGGAGGCAGGGAGATGGGGGCGAGGAGGGCAGAGGGGGAAGATGGCTGCATTGTACACATCCACTATAAACACGTTTTCTGCAAGGGCGCGTAAGGGGTAGCGGGAGACCGGGAAGGGGTGGCGGAGAGGGATTGCAGAGGGGTGCAAAAGGGAATGGAGGGTAGCTAAAATGAGATTGTACGAGAGCGGGAAGAGGGCGGTGAGAAAACGGTGTGAAGCAAGGGGGGGGGAAGGAGAGGCAGGATGGAGTGTGAGGGGACGGATGAAACAATGGCTGGCGTAGAAAAAGAGATAAGGAGTAGATTTTGAGCAGTCTTTAAGGTGGAGAGCAGTGCAGCATCATCGCGGATGAAAGGAGCGGAGCATCATGGGGGGTGCTTGGCAGAAAGAGAGAGTGGTTTTCCAGCTGCAATTTCCCATGGCCTTCCACGCCCTGTGCCATGGCCATCCACGCCCTGTGCCATGCCATCCACGCCCCGTGCCATGCCATCCACGCCCTGTGCCATGCCGCCCCTTTCCCAGCCAGTGCTGCCCTACGCATGCCACCTGTCAGTCACCCATCACCCATTCTCTCCTCCCCTCCCTCGCATCTTCACCCATAGTAGGCATGAGCAGAAGTCTGAGTCGGGGGCTATGGGACCCATCCTTACCATCACAGAGCCCCCTGCCCATCCTGTTACCATCTCTTTCACACCATCATCACCCATCACCCATCACCCATAGCCCATCCCCTGGTCACACCATCGCCCATCCAGTCGGTCTCATGGCCGTTGCCCTGATGTGCGTCCAGGTCCACTATCATCACTCTGGTGGGGCGGGCACGGGAGGTAAGTGGTGGGGAAAGAGAGGGTGGAGAGGAGAGGGGGAGGGAGGGAGGAGGGCATGAAACAGGTGAATCTGATCCGATGTGCGTTCAGGTCCACTATAAGTACTCTGGTGGGGTGAGGAGGGCGAGGCGGGGCGGTGCAGTGGAGGGGGGTGGAGAAGGAGGGAGGAGTATATTAAACCTGCCGCTCTGATGTGCGTTCTGGTGGGGCGGGGAGGGCGAGGCGGGGCGGTGGTGGTGGAGGGGGGTGGAGAAAGGGAGGGAGGGAGGGAGGAAGGGATGAAACCTGTCACACTCTCGCACGGAGAGAATGGCGAGGCGGGCGGGTGATGGGGGGGATATTTGAGGTAGAGCGGAGGGAGTGAAACAGGTGACTTAAATATGATGTCCATCCAACCAAGTCCACTATGAGCACTCTGGCAGGGCAAGGAGCGTGAGGAGGAGAGGGGGGTGGGGGACAGGTCGGGGGTTAAGGAGAGGGCAGAGCAGAGGGGTCAAGGTCAAGGTCCACAATTAGGACGTGGGATAAACTGTTTCAACTGCTGCTGCACACTGCGGACCTCTTCAGCCATTGCGCACCTCAGGGTCAAGAGTACATCATATGCCGCACCTCCTGACTCCTAAGAACGCGCGGGCGAAGGTGATGATGGCGGAGATGTCAGCGAGGGCACAGAAGCCCATGCCTGTGTGGCGGCTGCAGTGGTGCAGCCCGCCCCCCACGTTCACCGCTGCTCCCCTCTCCACTGCCAGCTTCGCTGCCAGCACACTGCCCCCCACCTTCTCAGAGAGGAGACAAGGAAAGGGTGAGAGTGGTGGAGAGAGGAGGAGAGAGGACGACACGGGAGGGAAGAGGAGGACAGTAAGGAAAGAAGATTGTGCTGCTCGTCTCTCCGCTGCAAGCTTTGGCAGATGAGGCGAGAGGAGGAGGGCAGAACAGAGGAAGAGATTTCGTACCAGCTTTGCCAGAGAGCTACACGACCCCATCACCATCCCCACCCCCACACCCCCCCCCCCCCGCACCACCATCACCATCCCCACCACCCCCACACCCCGACCCGCACCCGCACCACCATCATCATCCCCACCCCCACACCCCCACCCCCACCCGCACCACCATCATCATCCCCACCACCCCCACACCCCCACCCCCACCCGCACCACCATCATCATCCCCACCACCCCCACACCCCCACCCCCATCATCATCCCCACCATCCCCACACGCACCCGCACCACCACCACCCCCACCATGACCAGCAGCAGCACCTTGCCTGGTATCGGAAGGGGCGCACGACTCGATGCTGGAGGACGAAGTTGGGGAAGAGCGCCAGTGGAGGCAGCTGGTGGCGGCACCGTGCCGGGGAGGGGAAGAAGCGGGAGAAAGAGAGGAAGGTCAAAGATTGCGAATTAAGTTAAGGTCAGGGGAGGCGTTTCTTGCAAGGCGAAAGAAAAAAGAGTGAATTTGCGTGCATGGCATGCCATGCAGCAACACACACTTTCAAAACACATCCCCAACCTGAGAATCTACTCGGTTCTGTTTGCATGCAACACTAGCAAGCATGCAATTAAGCAGCTTGACCCACTGTCCCACAGAACTCCTCCTCACATGACCCACTGTCCCTCAGCACTCCCCCTTACATGGCCCACTGTCCCACACCACCCCCTCTCGCTTCCCCAATACTACGCACGCATGTGCCTCACCTCTCCAATGGTGGCGAGATTGAAGCTGCTTCGAAGGCTGTCCAGGTACTCGTGAGAATGCACCTGACGGGGCATGGCCACACACACCGCAGAGTAAGCATTCGTGCAATGTGAAGGGGACGCACTGGGAAAACAGGAAGAGGAGCACAACGCCATGGAAGGTGTGCGGCATGGTGACACGGCCATGGAAGGTGTGCGGCATGGTGACACGGCCATGGAAGGTGTGTGGCATGGTACAGCGCGTGTGTTCTAATCACTGCCAACGCTGTGCGACGAGCAGTGGAGCTCGTCACCCCAGCCACAGCGCGCCAGCACAGCACAGCACCTGGTGGGGCAGTAAGCACCTGTTGTGCACAGAATATCACAGTGGGTGCAGTGCAGTAGTACAACAACTCACCAGCAGCAGGTCATCATTGGTAGCAGCCCCGGGAAGCACCACCTGGCGTGGCTGTATGTGCCCCTCGTCCGCACAATAGTGCCGCAGCAGGGACAGCAGTCAGTCTTTTTGAGACGTCTCAAAAGCACCCTCTCTACACGCGTCAGACAGGCTCACCAGCAGCAGGTCGTCGTGGGTGGCAGCCCTGGGGTGCACCACGTGGTGAGGCAGTATGCACCCGTCGTCCACAGAATATCACAGTGGGTGCAGTAGTACAACAACTCACCAGCAGCAGGTCGTCGTGGGTAGCAGCCCTGGGGTGCACCACCTGGTGAGGCAGTATGCGCCCGTCATCAATGAGAAAGCGCACTATGCGCCCCCACTTGCCCGAGTCAAAGGGATGCCTGGTGTGCGTGTGAGGGGGAAGGGGTGGGGCCCGTTTGAGAGGGTGGGGAGGAGGGGGAGCTGGGGGGTCAGCGGCTGCATATCTTCAAAGGTGTGCGAGTGAGTCACCTCTGAGCATTTTCAGAAGTGACTTCAATTCGGTGAGGGTGAGGGGGGGTTGTGGAGGGATGCGGGATGCAGTGCCAGACGCGTGTGATTGCAGCATTTAAGAGAGTAAGACGATCGGTTTGAAGGGGGGAACGAGGAGGAGACGCGGAGAGGATGAGAAAGGGAAGTGGTCAGAAGAGGTGTGTAAGGCAGGGGGTTGCGACAGGAAAAACGGCCAAGGTGAGAAAGTGAGGGGCATTTATAGGGAATGGTGGGGTGTGTGTGTGGGGGGGGGGGAGCGGGTGTGGGGAGAGGGAGGCAGTGGGGGAACGGGGTGGGGGTGTTGTGGGAAGGGGAAGAGGAGGACAACGCAGAGGCAGCAAAGCACAGAGCGAGGTGGGGCGGCAGAGGGAACAGAAGGAATGGAGGAAAGAAACAAAGAGGGGGCAATGCCAGAGGGAGAATTGAGGGAGGAGGGCGGGGAAAGAGAGGGCGCGAGCGGAGAAGAGAGAGGGCAGTTGAGGGGCCGTGTGAGCCCCATGGTGCATCGGCACGTGAGCGAAGGTGAGGTGGGGAGAGCGATGTGATTATGGCAGCAGGATGAGGCAGGGCAAGCGCACTCACAGCTTCTCGATGCCAAAGAGAGGCGCACGTTGTACTCGTCACAGTACACCAGTGGGCTCTGCCTCACACACGCAGCACAAGGACAGCACAAGGGCGTGGGAGGAAAGGGCGTGGGGGGTTCGGCACTCACAGCTTCTCGATGCCAAAGAGGCGCACGTTGTACTCGTCACAGTACACCAGTGGGCTCTGCCTCACACACGCAGCACAGCGCGGCGCAGGGGTGGGCGGCACAGGGCAGCACAGGGCAGCACAGGACGACACAGAGAGAGACAGGGAAGAATAGGGAGCGAAGGCCAAGACAGCACAAGGCAGCAGAGGGGCAAAGGGAGCACGGGCAAATGCGCATGGCGGGGAAGGGAAGCAGCACATGTGAAACGCAGATAGTGATGCTCACATTCTCAGAGGCTCAGATGCTCACATGCTCAATGCTCTCCACGCCAACACATCTACGCGACATCCCCCGACCCTGCCTCACCCACAACCGACCCTGCCTCACTTACAACCGACCTGCCTCACCCACAACCGACCTGCCTCACCCACAACCGACCTGCCTCACCCACAACCGACCTGCCTCACCCACAACCGACCTGCCTCACCCACAACCCACCCTGCCTCACCCACAACCCACCCGGCCTCTCTATTCAACTGGCCCCCTCATAATAAGATTGCAAACTCAGCCCAGATTACGAGTACCAACCGGCTTTTATCCATCACCTCTCTCCCCACCCTCCTCTCCACACCCGCATCTCCTCATCCCCACCTTTTTCCACCTCCTCCCCCCCTGCCCGCTTCTCTTCCCACCCCCTCTCTCCTCACAGACCCCCCTTCAGCAGACAGCAGCTCAAACTCCTCCCCTCCCGCCTACCACCGCCCCTCACCTTTTCTATTCCCGCCTCTCTCCTTCTCTCCCCCCCCCCCCGCCCCTCACATTCTCTCTCCCCCGCCCCCCATCTTCTCTCCCCACCCCGCCCCTCGCCTTCTCTTCCCCATCCCTTCTCCCTCGCATTTTCTCCTCCCCTTTCTCTCACCTTCTCTGTCCCACCCACCTCACCTTCTCTTCCCACCATCTCGCCTTCTCTTTCCCCCGCCCCTCGCCATATCTTCCCCCCCCTCTCGCCTTCTCTTCCCCCCCCGCCCCTTGCCTTCTTTCCCCCATCGCTGCCCTCACCTTGTCCTCCCGTCTGCCTCCGCCCGCACCTTCACTCCTGTCGCCCCCCCACCTTCTCTCCTCACCTCCGTTCCTCCGTCGCTGTGCTCACCTTCTCCTCCCTCCGGCGTCAAACAGCAGCTTCGACTCCTCCAATCCCGTCTCCCCCCGCCCCTCACCGTCTCTCCCCCTCCCGCCCCCTCTCACCTTCTCTCCCCCACCCGCCCCCTCTCACCTTCTCTCCCCCACCCGCCCCCTCTCACCTTCTCCGCCCCGACGTCAAACAGCAGCTCCGATTGCATCAGTCGCCGCAGCGTCTCCTCGTCTCCCCTCACGCCATCGTTCCCCGCGCCATCGTTCCCCGCGCCTTCTCGCCCCACCCCATCCCTCCCCCCGCCATCGCCAGCCCCCCCTCCTCCTCGCTCCGCCGCCTCTCCGCCCTCCGCGGCCGCTCCGCCGCCAAGCGACGGCTGACTGTCCCTTATCGTGCTTGTGACGGGGACCGCAGCTCCTGGGCCGGCAGACATGCTAACGGCTAACCGTCTGGCTCTCGAGCGCTGCGCTTTCCCGACCGATGAACAGGAAGAAAGTGAGAGGTTGTTTCCGGATGAAGAGGGAAAATACCGGCTAGCAGACTTTGTGGTCGACTTTCCACCAGCGGTCGGGGCTGCTCGTCCTGGGCTAATGCGAGGAGTTGCACTGTAACGGGGACGAAGGAGAACTACGCGGCACTTGCGCGGGAAAGCATGAGCAGCTTGTAATGGAAAAGCTGCGGCAACAACCGAGGGGTCAAAAGCGGTGGCAGCGAAAGAAAGAGTTGACGGGGAGACACGATACGGCGCAATCATGGGAGTCAGGCGCGGTGAACCAGCGCGCAACGATCCCCGCATTGCAAGGAGGAGCGGTCGACTACGAGCGACTCGGCGAATGTCGGAAACACATGAATTATCAAATTGGGCAGCTAACCCAACTCGTCTCACCACACCAGATACGTTCGCGTTAGAAGCCATATTTTTATTAAACTTCACTTGTCCGCAGGTTTGGCAACTTTATCAGAGAGCAGAGATTTTCCTGGGAAAAAGAAAAATTGTTATTTTTTTAAATCGATGCTAGTGCTGCTTATTACAGAATATTGTCAGAATGTGATATTTTTCTAGCCTGCAGTGGGGTACTCTATAGCGAGTATAGTTCAAATTAGGGTTTGCTATATGTACTCAACTGCCTGCTAGTGCAAACCAGGGCCCGTGCTAGGATTTGGGGCACCCTGAGCCCTCAGGGCACTTTTCTAGAATCTTAAAAAATGCCCTGATTTGTCAGGGGAAAATTCCGAAGCCTTCCTGTATGTTCAGGGCTTTTGCAGAAACTAATCCTGACCTGTCAGGGCAAAAAAAATAGTGTTCAGGGTTCAGATTTTAGCGGGAGAGAAGGGAGGGTAACGGGGAGCGAAGGGGAGTGGGTTTTTGCGGGCCGTTGCTGTCCGTCCACGAGGAGACCATGGCGCAGAGCACGCGGGGGATCGGAACACAACCGTGAAAGAGAAGAGTTGTTCGAAGGCGGGAAACATACTCGGGGAAGAATTTCAACGAAGACCAAAATTCCCGGGGAAAAAATTCCCCCCGAAACGGGAACCACCCACCCCCCTCCCCCACTCCCCCCCCCCCCCCCCCCCCCCCCCCCCCTCAAAAAATGCGTCAGGGTAGGCCTCGACATTCACCCTGACGCTACAGGGAAGTACACCACGGCCATCCTGAATGTTCAGGTCATTTCGGATAAAAACATCCTGAGACCTCATGGTAAAAATTGAAACCATTCTGAAATGACAGGGTAAATTTAAAACTGCATCCTGAATTCAGGGTAATCAGGATGTTTTGCCCTGATAACGTGGGGCCTGGTGCAAACCCCTCTTCCCTGTTCCTTATTCCTGCCTACTTTTTCGACATGCTATCAGAGCGGTTACGCTCCTGGCCTGTGGGCCCACCGTTAGCTTCCGCTGCTGTCCTGTCTGTCGCGCGCCCCGTGGCGCGCGACGTTTTTTCTTCCCGCCACGCGCTCGGGGCGCATGGCGGTTTTCTGCCCGCCACGCGCTCGGGGTGAGCGGCGGTTTTCTGCCCGCCGTGTGCCCCGAGGCGCGCGGCGGTTTCCCATCGTCGCGGCGCCCCCGGGGACCCACGGGCCCTTTCCCGTCGTCCGTCGTGGCGCCCCCGGGGACCCGCGGGCTCCCCCCATCGTTCGTCGCGGCGCCTCGGGGACCCGCGCGCGGCCCCCCGTCGTCCGTCGTGGCGCCCTCGGGGACCCGCGCGCTCCCCCCGTCGTCCGTCGTGGCGCCCCCGGGGACCCGCGCGCGCTCCCCCCCCCCCCCCCCCCCCCCGTCGCCCGTCGTGGCGCTTCGTCAACCCGCGCGCCGCCCCTGGGGACTCGCGCACCTGTCCCCGTCGACCCGCGCGCCCCTCCCGTGGACCCGGGCGCCGTCCCCGGGGACCTCCGCGCCCGCCCCCGTCGACCCGCGCGCTTCCCCTTGCACCTGCGCGCAGCCTCCTCCCCGTCCCCCCCCTTCTTCTTCGCCTCCCTGCTGCGCGTGCAGCCGTGGGATGGCTAGTATGGGGGTGGCGGGTGTGTGAGCCGTCCCCTGCTCCTCCTCCTCCTCCGTCTCCCACTGCTGCAGCTGCCGCTGAGGGGGGTGGATGTGTGGGAGCCGTCGGAGTGGTACTAGGGGGGTGGCGTGTGAGCAGTGCTAGGGGTACAGCAGGGGGTGTGTGAAAGGGGTGTGGGACAGCTGGGGGAAGTTGAGTGGAGGCAGCCGTCTTGTCGTCTGCAGCTCCAGTAGTCCGAGAGACAGCTGCGCCTGTCGCCGTGTTGTCCGGGGCTCTGCGCCTGGTAGCGACAGTGCTGCGCGCTCCTGGTAGCACAGAGAGCCAGCTGCGCCTGTCGCCGTGTAGTCCGGGGCTCACGCCTGGTAGCGACAGTGCTGCGCGCTCCTGTTGCCCGTGTGTCTGCAGCTTCAGCCGTCGCCTCCCATCTTCTCGCCTCCACAGTTTCTCCTCCTCCTCACTTGCCCTCTGTGATAGCCTCTAGCTTTGCTTATCATTGTGAACTATTGCTCTGCCTGCTTGTTGTGCTGATTATACCCCACTTTGACTATGGGGGTGTGTCAGAATGTGATATTTGTCTAGCCTGCAGTGGGGTACTCTATAGCGAGTATAGCCCAAATTAGGGTTTGCTATATGTACTCAACTGCCTGCTAGTGCAAACCCCTATTTCCTGTTTCTTTTTCCTGCCTACTGTTTCGACAAATATTACAAAGAGTTGCCTCTTAAGTTGATTTGGGTGTCAATAAGTTTCAAATGATTTTGACAGAATTCTAGCATGGCTAATATTCTCAGGGAAAATTAGCCTGATACCCTGATAGTCAGGGTAATTTTTAGGGTCACACACTGGCGTAAAAGTTTTTGTTTTAGAGATTACATTTTGGGTATGCTTTAGCGTAAAAGTAACTTGTCCTCCTAGAATGTTTTACCCTGAAACGAGTAATAGGCATCTTAGTAAGGCATCTTCCTTGCGTCCTCCCCCTTCCCCCCCCCCCGCCCCCCACTCCCCCCTCCTCCCCCCCCCCCCAACCGCCCTGTACTCGGGTCCCCGCCCCGACGCGCGAATCCCCATAAATTAGCCACGAATGTACGTGTGTTGGGGGCAGTAAGATTTACACTACGATTTTTGTCTTCATCTACCAACACATAGAGACCACTTACCCAGCAAGGGTTCTTACAGAGTTTCGGCGTCCACTGTCCCGTTTAGCGTTGGGAAATCTGTCAGAGGCACACCGTGGATCCCCGATTGATCCTAGCGAATGGTTACAGGCACGTCGGCCATGGGGGGTATGGCCGCACCTACCCGCTACACAAATAAGCTCTTTTATCTCAGTGGTTAGTGATTGAGATTCTGACGTGGTATCAGAGTGAAGGTCTTGGGTTCGAATCCCAGTGTGCACCTCCGGGCATCCCAGTACGGCGGGGTGTCAGAGGTGCACTGCAGATCCTCGATTGATCCTAGGAAACGGTTACAGGCACGTCGGCCTGGGGGTTCATTGTCAAAAACTAGGGACAGGAATGATTGGACTAGAACAGAGTTGGGTACAAGTATGAAACCCTAGCAGTTATGTACCCCATATTGGCTACCCCACTACAGCCTACACAAAGATAACTCATATAGTTTGACACACCCCCATAGGCAAAGTGGGGGAGAACAAAGGGTCACACGACCAGTCAAGAGAAGCAAAGCAAGCTCAGGGTGGATCACAACGTCACCACACACACTGAGCACAAGCAAAGGGCCATAAGGCCAGTTCACATGCAGAGGTATATATGCAGCAACATCAGAGCAGTGATCACTATCTAGCAAGAGCAAGCATGCAGGTATATATGTATAGATCACAGTACAAGCAAAGTCTACAGCAAGTGTGGAAACGTAGGCACAAGGCCCAACAAAGTACAAAAGCGCTGATGATCACCAGACGGAAGTGCCTTGGTGAAGATATCAGCAGTGTTGGCCCGAGTGGCCACGTGAGCAAGACGAAGCTGACCTCGCTGCTGCAACTCTCGAGCCAGGAAGTAACGCATAGCGATGTGCTTCGTTCTGTGCTCCAGTCTGTGCTCCTGACACAAGGCAATGGCGGCCTTGTTGTCGACGTACAGAACTGGAGGAGAACGAGGCCTCTCTCCCAAGTCGGTCAGCAGGTAGGTGAGCCAGCGTAACTCCTGTGCAGCCATGGCTGTGGCGTAGATCTCAGCCTCACAACTGGAGCTGAGAACAGAAGACGAGCGTGTAGACCGCCAAGAAACAGAGCCAGAGCCAAGGCTGAAGATGTAACCCTGTGACGACCGCTGCGTAGCCTGGTCGTCAACCCAAGACGCGTCAGAGTGTCTAGTGAGGACAACGGTGCTCCGTCCTCCAAGCACGAGCCCCATGCCCGATGTACTGCACAGGTAGCGCAGTACCCTCTTCGCAGCATCCATGTGCACCTTTCGGTGCCGACCAGGAGCCACGTAGCGAGCCAAAAGGCCAAGAGGGTACGCGAGGTCAGGTCGAGTGCAGGTCATCAGGTACATGAGGCAGCCCACTAGCTCTGCGTAAGGACCACTCGGCTCTACGGACTCGTCCGAAGGTGGAGCTGAGAGCGAGTGACCTGTAGCCAGCGGAGTGGGCTGTGGGGAGGACCAGGTGAAGCCGAAGCGCTAAAGGACCTGCTGCACCATGTGTGAGTGAGTCAGTGTGATGGTGCGGCGTGCTCTGTCCCGGGTGATCTGCAAGCCAAGGTAGCTGCGCAGCTCACCCAAGTCAGTGCACGTGTGTCTCTTCTGCAGCTCCGACTTCACCAGAGCGAGAGCCTCAGTGTCAGCAGTGGCAAAGACCAAGTCGTGGACGTACACGAGGATGTAGAACGGCGGCAGTGAAGTGTCGGTGCGCAGAAACAGCGACGGGTCAGCAGTCAAAGGAGCGAACCCAAGAGCCGCAAGTGTAGTCCTCAGTGTGT